TTGCTTGACTTATAAAGAGTCTTTCAAATTTGTATCACCTTAAATTGAACTTGAATTTCTTGAACCTTACAATCCAAACATGATGCAAACCACATGAACTTGAATGGTGAATTTTTCATATGAATCACTTTTGCCAAAATTCATGAATTCAAAGATGGTAAACATTGTAAATTCCAACATAACTTGAAGCTTTGAAACCTTGAACATGGACTTTACAATTTCATGCTGGGGTATGAATCCCTACTTGCAAAAACTCATGGATTTGAAAATGGAAAACATCATATCTTAATTTTGAACTTTGTAGAAATAATAGTGAATCAATTTGAATTTTTGTAAAGAACATATTCTTGAATTTCATTTTAAGACCTCCTTGCTAAAACTTGATTCAAGATTTTTATCCAAACTTACTACTTCACAACGTCAACAAGGAAATCCAAACTTTTTCTCTTAAGATTAGAAGAAACATGAACTATGATCCAACTTCATGAACAAAGTTTTGCTCAACCTTTGTTACCTGTGCAATCAAAGACTTAGATGATGATGAACTCGGTACACGAACCATGCTCTGAGAAACCCTTTGAAAATGAGGATAAAACTTGTAAGGTAACTCACCACAAAACCCTGACCATGCTTAATGGAAAGAAAACCCTGATCCTCTTCGGGAGTATACACTGAAACTTCTGAGAAATCTTGAGGAAAATGACCAATAGAAAACCCTAGGAACCTTTTGAACCAGAATCCAACAATCACATCTTGTGGTGCTTGACTGAGAGAACGATTTCTATTTCTACTTGAAACCAATGTTCTTGCACAAACCTGTTAGTAATAAAGCACGTGAATATGCAAGATGATGCACAAAGATGTGGGATCTTAAGGTTAAAAATTAGGGTATGACAGATGCCCCTATTTAATTTTCTTATATTCGGAGGTATGGAGATCAAAATCTTCATCTCGACGAGATATGAGAGACTTAAATACAAACATGCACAATTTTTGGCCCTAAGTTGGCAGCATATGCAATGATATGAGATGATATGAAATGAATGCAAGACAAAAATCCTGTGGGGAATGATGTCACAGGGGATAACCGGACACAGAAAACGCTGAAACACAGAATGGAAAACCCGACGAGGAACAACTTAGAAAAGCAAGAATCCACGAGAAGAGATCCTACTCCACTAGGGAAGAGACAGATAACCACCACTGGGGATAGCCTAAGCACGTGGTATCTCTAGTAAAATGAAGAGGTATAATACTTATTTCCAAGAATATGATAACCTAAACAACAGGCAAGAAACTTGAAAAGAAGGATAACCTACTACCAACATATGGTAGCCTAAGCAAAGGTCTCCATTTGAAACAAAGGAATGCATATTACCTACTACCAAACCTATGGTAGCCTAAGCAAAGGTAATAGACTAGAGATCACGTACTACCAAACACGGTAGTCTAAGCAAAGGTGTCTGACCCAAAGAAAGGTGCGTTACCTACAATCAAACATATGATAGCCTAAGCAAAGGCAAACACTAAAAAGAGAGATCACCTACTGTATGTTAGCTCGCAAATTCGACGCTCATATTGAGATTAAATATTTGAATAAAATATTGAGATCTTTAAGAAATGTAAAAGACTTTGAGTGTGGAGACCTTCGAGCAGGATGGGTTATTCAAGCGCTTGGGACTTAGAGAAAATTTCCAAATATTGAGGAAACTACCTTTGACCGAGATGTTGGCTGAGTATTAGTAATGTTTTTTGAAATTCAAATAAAGGATGAAGTAGTTATGCTTTCTCATGGCTAAGCAAGACAAATGACGTTCATCTAGCAAGTGACTACATGCAATATGACACTTGTCGGAGGCTGATGATTTTAGGAGGTTATTGGTAGTTAATTTTACTATTATAAATAAGAGTTCTAGGCATAGAATTCAGTGTGTTGTAATTTACTATTTGTACAAGTTACTCCCAAAATTACTCAAAGTATCCGAGTGTAGAGAAACGAGTTCTAGGAGAATGTACATTATGTAAACACACCATCTTTACTTTCAGTGAAATTTACTTGCTTAATCTTAAAGAGTTTTTCTTTACTTTTCCTGCAGTATACATCTTCCAGGCATTTTGTTTTACTTTGTTCAATACTTTTCAAAGTTCTTTACTTCGTTTCTGCAAATTTACATCCTTTTTTACTTCAACCGAACATTGCCTTTACATTAAGCCTTTTTCTCAAAGCATTGTCGAAGTGTGTAGTTTAGATAACTTAGTTCACATAAAAATTTAGCACATGTCCTAGGATCAATCTGATCGTTCCTGTGAGTCACCAAAGTTAGATTTGAAAAATCAGCGGTTGTTTTCCAATTTTCACGGGAAACACTGTTGCACCCCAAAATTTTACCATCCTTTTTCTTATATCTTGACTTATGTTTCATATCATTTTGCATTCACATTAGATCATAGCATTGGTTCTAGACAGGGGACAAGGTATTTAGTACAACACTCAAAGGAAGAGCTTCATCTTTAAAAGCTCAATCAAGGGTTCTTGATCAACTTTGTGGAAATCTCAAGTCATAAGGTTCCCTCATCATCAAGACAAATCTCACAACCATTTGAGTCAAGAATTCAAGCTTTGATCACCTCCTCCTATCTTGTGGACAGTTGGACTAGGGTTTTGGTTCAAAAGGCATCTATGGCTAGTTCCTTAGGCAAGACATGATTCTAAAGTTCAAAAAATATCTTAAGGGTCCTATACATGGATTATGTGTCATCACAAGCCATCACAAGAGTTTCAATCAGTGGAAATGATCCTAGGATTTCATCTGGTCAACAAAAGTCAATTGTGGTTCAATGGGGTCAAAATCTTGGATCTCAAGATCAACCAAGGGTATATTATGTGTTTTCAAGTGATTTCATCTGTTTGGAACAAGAAAAGTCAAGAAGAAACATAAAATCAAGAGATTGGTTGAATTAGGATTTTAATGAAATTTTTTCTGTGTGGAAAACCCTAAATTCTAGCCATTTTGCAACTTCTATAATTTTCTCATCCTTGATCCAATGGAAGCGAACTTGTTATCAAATTAAAGAGGACATCATGAACTACAAATTTTTGGAAGGAAGAAAGTCCAAAAAGTTCATAGTTTGAGAGATATGGAGAGCTAAAGTTGAGAAAATGGAGATTTTGACCTTCCAACACTTAGATTTTTTTCTAAGTATGGAAATTCAGCTTGAAGTACCTACTTTCAAGCCTATCTTACATGGTGATAAAAGCTTAAAATAAAATTTCCTCCAACACGAAAGTTGTAGAGCATCCTCCAATCTTTATTTTGAGTACTAGAACTTCTCCATTGGATGTGTAGAACTCAAGTTATGATGCTGCCTAGTTAGGGTTTCAAAGATGTCAAGTTTGACAAGTTCCTAGGCAGATTGTTGGACCAATCTTCCATGGAATTTTTCATCAATATCCTAGCTCCATATCATCTTCCACCAAACACCAAAGTTGTAAATTTTTATTCAAGCTTTCCTTACATTACAAGTTCTCATCAATTTGATAACGCAATCTCAAGTTATGATCCTACAAAGATGGTGTCTCAAAGATGTCAAAGTTCCATAACTTAGAAAATTTTTCTAAGTTATTCATGACATATTGGTGGATATCTTTTCAAGACAATTTTGCACCTCAATCCAAGCCTCATATCAAGATCATTTCAACATGGAATTTACTCGTTACATTCCCTAGTTTAGTTTGATCACAAGGTTGCATGATTTGGCATTGAATTTAGAAATTTTTTCCACCCTACCATTCTTTTGCAAAGTATTTTCCAAAATGTCATTCTTTTCCAATTACTTTCCAAAATGCCATACTTTCAAACAAAGAATGAACAATTCTGTCCTCCCAATGGGCGACAGAGGCAAAAAAATAAATGCCATCCGCCCTTCCAATGGGCGGCTATGTTGAAGTTCAATTTTTTTTAAAGTAATAATTATTAATGTATTAATGTATTAATTATAATAATTAAATTAGTAATAACTATTATAATAAAGTAATAATTATTAATATATTAATAATAATTATTAAATTAGTAATAATAATAATTTAATTAGAAATAATAGTTATAAAAAAGATAATAATAATAAAAATTAAAATATTACGTAAAAATAAAATAAAATAAGTTATTTTAAAATAGTACTAATTAAAATAAAATAGTACACTGAAATATATAATAATATTTATAAAATAAAATACGATAAAAGAACTAAAATAAATTTTTAATTTTTGAAATTAAATATGTACATTAAAATTCCTATTCACCCTTAATTAATTTCGACCCGGTCGACGTAAGCGTTGGTGGGTTCCACAGGCAGGAGGTTGTACATTTCTGGTGGACCTTCTACGATCAACCTCAACGTTTTGGGGCTGTGTAGATGGTCCTGCATCATTGTTAGGGTTCATGAATTCAGCGACCAAATTATCATTGAAATCGTCGTCAGTTAGTATCGCCGCCGCACTTCCATAACTTAATCTTGTACTCTCGTTACTCCAACTTGGAAGGTTTGAAGGTGACATTGTGTTAGTCATATAGGGGGTGTATGGATGTTGGTCTTGAGATGAATTAAGGGTGAAGTTTTGTGAAGGGTAAAAAGAAACTTGTGGTTGAGGTGTTTGGTAGTTGTGTTCTTGTTGGGTAGGTTGAGAGAATGAGAATTGGTTATATTGGGGGTATGATGAGGTTGGGTTTTGTTGTTGGTTGTTGAGGGGGTTGGGTTAAATGATGGGTAAGGTTGATTGTAGTGTTGGCTTGGGGTATAAGGTGGTTGTGTTGGGTTGTGTTAAATATTTGTGGTTGGGTGTTAAATATCTGTTGTGGGGTGTTAAATATTTGTTGTGGGGTGTTACAAGTCATGGAGGGGATGTTTTGGAAGTTTGAAGGAGTTGGTTGGTTTCGAGGGTCCCATAAGTATCTATTTGGTGATAGATACAAATTGGTCACGGATCTATACCAAGTCATGTATTACCTACTGGGTTTACATTCGGTATCCATGACATTTCCTCGTAGAACAGTGCGACGACGATTTATCCAGTGCTGTCGTTCTTGTCTGTTATGGTCTCTCCAATCATCGAATTTCCATTGGTCGTTCGCTGTACTCTTGTGGTACCTCTCCATGCATGTAGGTGGACTAGGAATGTCTTGTTTAATCCCGAATTGGAGTTTCACCCTATTTGAATGATGCATTTCCACATAAGTGAAAGAAAATATGAATGTTGTAGAACTCCACATATCGCTTTCAGTTGGATCCTTATCTTCAAGTTCAAGATAGTGTCTCCATAGAAACTATAATAAAATAAAAAAGGGATTAGAGAAAAAAATGGAAAGTGTTAGTAAAAAAATAAGGGATTAGAGACAATACATCGTCTTCCTCAAAATGATCGAAGAACGTCCGATACCCAGGAGCACAGTGATACGGAGTTTTTTCGTAACATGGGTAACTATATTTCATAATATTCATTAAATTTTGTCAATAACATATATTATTTCTTTGTCGTTTGTTGACTGATATTTTAATTATTCAGGGTACGCTTTAAACCAACCAACATTTCATTACTATCGATCAGAGATTGGCATGGTAAATGCAGATGCTTTAAGGTGGATTGACAATATTCCAGCCGAAAAATGGACAAGGGCATTTGACGGGGGTCGACGTTGGGGTCACATGACTACCAACCTTGTCGAGTCAATGAATGTTGTCTTTAAAGGCACACGTAATTTGCCAATTACAACATTAGTAAGGGGAACATATTATAGACTGGGATCTTTATTTGCTGAACGGGGTTCAAAGTGGAGTGCTGTGTTAAATTCTGGCCAAACATTTACAGACAACTGCCTCAAGGTGATGAAAGAAGAAACAACAAAATCCAGCACACATCAAGTCAAAATTTTTGACTATGCTAACAATGTTTTCAGTGTGAAGGAGACAATTGACCATGGTGAGAGAAAGCCTATGGGACATTATAAGGTCGACCACTTGAACGGGTGGTGTGACTGCAGAAAGTTTCAAGCATTTCGTGTCCCTTGCTTGCTCACATGTTATCGCTGCATGTTCAAATGTGCGTCACGACGCTTACGCTCTTTTGTCCGACATTTATAGGGTTACAAACATGTTTGGGGTTTACAGCACAAGCTTTCCAGTGCTGCCGTACGATGAATATTGACCCGTTTATGAAGGAGATCAAATTTTCCATAACCCAAGAATGCGGAGGAACATGAAAGGTCGCCCAGTGAGCACACGTATTACAACAGAAATGAATAACTTTGATAAGCTTGAGAGGAAATGTTCAATGTGTCGTCAAACAGGCCACAATCGAACCCGGCGACGCATCATGTACTAAATAATATTAGTTAATGATATCAATTTATATAAATTATGTATTAAAAAATATAATTTGATATTATACATTAATTGATTATATTAGTATTAACATTATTGATAATATAAATAACTATTAATAAGATAATATTAACATTATTGATATCAATTAAGTAAATATTAAAAAATATATATTGAAATATTAATAATAATATTAACATTATGTCTTAATAATATTAATAAATATTAATATTAATAATATTAATATGTATTGAAATATTAATAATAATATTAACATTATGTCTTAATAATATTAATATTAATAATATTATTAATACAAATATTAATAAATATAAATATTAATATATATAATAATATATATTAATAATATAAATATAATAAATATTATTATTATTAATATTAATAATATTAATATAAATAAATATTAATATTAATAAATATTATTATTAATATTAATATTAATAATATTAATATTAATAAATATTAATAATATTCATATTTATTATATTTATATTATTAATATATATTAATATAATTAAAACAGTCATAAAACGAAAAAGTAAAAAAAAAATTGTGTTGGTCTCTGTCGCCCTTCCAATGGGCGGCACCCCTTAAATTTACACACTATCGCCCAATGAATGGGCGGAAACCTTCAACTAATTTTTGAAAGTGTGGCATTTAAGTATATATTTGGTAAAAACATGGCAGGACATAAATTTTTTCTTGAATTTACCAAGATATGATCAAGAAAAGTGAGCTATATAAATTGAAATGTTAATGTTCTTGGCATGATCATGCATCAACTTCTCCATTCTATATCACACGTATAACTTGGGACAAAACCTCACAAAACATTGCCATAATTGAAGCAACATCTCATGTACTATTTGTAGCCTTCATGGCCATGTCTTACCAAAAGTGGAAAATGTGAAAACATCAACAAACTTGCTTATCACGATTTGTACCAATACCAGCTCATTATTCTCACTCTAACAAACCTGCTGGACCTCAAACCAAGCCAAAAAACTTCCCTTAGTGCCTTTGATCCGAAGCTAGCACCAAACCATCAGCTATGTGCATTTTTCTGTCCAAACCAAAAAAAACTCCCAAGCCTCAACCTTGTTTCCAACCCTAAAAACAGGTCATATAAAATCATTTAAGAGCAAAACCTAGCCTCATTGATTGATATTTTCATATCTACATCATAAAACCTCATTTTTTCCACCTTCGAGTTCTTCATTTTGTGAGAATTCTCTACAATTTCTTGCTTGTATCATCTTCCATAAGGAATTTCCTAGCTTCTGTATGCAAGAATCATCATCTGTGTTCATCATTTGAAGCCTTTCAAGTGTGATTTTCTTCAATTCTAGTTTGAATCTGGTTGAGGATTTTCAAGGAGAATCAGAATAAACAAGACCTCAATCTACACTTCTCAGAGCTCAAGCAAGCTAGCAACATCATTTATGAAGTTTCTACACTTGTTGAAGAAGCAACAAACTGTTCTCCATTAGGTAACTTCATCAGCCACTTAGATCTGCTTGTTTAAATGTGTTCTTATCACATTCTTGGTGCATTTTTATTGTATGTTGAATTTGCTTACTGAGGACCTATGATAATATGATATATGTGTTTGAAATGTGGCTTTTTAGTTTTGTTAAGGTTCTAAGTTTTGCTTCAGTGTCTTGCAATGTTTATTTATGGAAATAGATGTTGGATTTGGATTCTGTGTGAGATTTTGAGTGGAGTAGGTGTCTTTATTTTCATTTTTGGGTGTTTTGAGTTGTCTCTGGTGGCGTGGTGACTGAAGAAGGCGACCAGAGCTAGGGCTCCGGCGTCTCTCAGGTCAGAGATGATGATGTGGCCATTGGTGCCACTTTTTAAATTCAAATGATATGAGTTATTTTAATCTGAACCACTTATGTGTACAAGTCATTGTCAACTCAATTAATGAGCTACATCGTGGCATGCGTCGAATTGAAATCTTCCAATAATATTTCGAGGTCAGATTTAAGCGGATCTTGTGGTTCCTCAAAATATTGGGGGTGGTAGTTATAAGGGAAATATGGGTTATACATAGTGATTTAGATAAGAGTGCCTTAGTCTATACTATGCAACAACGGAATCACAATATTGACTGTTGGTCCCCGGCAATGGCGCCAAAAACTTGATGCGTCCGCAAGTGCACGAAAATATCGAAGTAATATAAAAGATTTGTCGAACCCACAGAGACCAATGTCAATCTACTGTTATCTATTGTCGCGGCGTAAAGCTAAGACTAATGGAATTTGGAAGGTTAAATGCGAATGAAATTAAATGCAAGGGAAATAAAGATTTAGTTTTAGAAATAGCGGTAAAGAGATATCGGTATGTAATGTTTTAGTTTTCGGGAATTCTACAGGTCGTCGGTGCTTTTTAGTCTTTGCAAACATTTTTCAGGAGAAAATACTCGTTTAAAGACCTTTGCCTCACGATGATTGTTGACTCTAGTCATGACTCTAAGGCGGAATGTACGCTTTCGCTGTCCCATTCGGGGTTAAAATCACTTTTTGAAAACAACTAAGTTCTAATTTCTTTTAAATCGCTTTTGCTGTATTTAAAATAAATGCCTAATTTTTACTATCTGGTCCTAGCCTCAACTTTCGCATGTCGGTTCGTACCTTAATAATCTCTCATTGTCGTGGCAAGATTACTATAAACAAATTCTCGCTGTCACGACGAAGTTTAGTTTAATAAATTTAGATTAAAAACTACGGCCAGAAAGATTGTTTGAAAAAGGGAAAGTGCATCGGATGTTATCGAATCCCGTCCTACTAATTTATTACATACCGACTTATGTGGTTTAGCTAGAAATGGTAATTAATGCAAATGGAAATAAACATAAACAACAAAATGATAAAACATACATTATGACAGAAAATAAAGGAATAATTAATTAATAAGAACCCGGAAAGTAGTACTGAAATTGAAGAGTAGTCCTCCACAATGTCGGCAAGATTCTACTTTGGCGAAATAAAATTGCAGAAATACAATGCTCTGAACTAAAGGGAAAAAGGAAAGAAAATAAAAGAAACAAATAAAAATAGCTTCAATAGGAATTTTAGCAGCACTTCGATACGTCGAAGCCCCCCCCCCCTAAATGCTGTGAATCTCAGGCCTATTTATAGGAGATATTTCCTTTCTCAACTTCCATAGATCATGCATGAGTTATGGGGAAAGTGGGAGTAACTTCTAGTAATGGGCAGTTAGTGGAGAAAGTGTAGGAGAAAAGGAGGAGAGAGTCGGAAGAAATTAAGTTCGTGCACGCTTCTGTTATACTGAACTTGGGGTCGTGACTGTCATTATGGTCTCATGACGGTTATGTTGATCGTGACGACTGTGATGGTCTTGTGACGAACGTGACGGCTGTGAGGTCGTGAGGGGGCTGTGACAACCGTCATGCGCATAAATTCTATACTTTGCGTTTTTCTTCTCTATTTCTTTCTTTCTTCTTTCTTTTCCTTCCATTTCTTCTTCTTTTCTTTCTTTGATCCAAATTCTCCACAATCTGCCAAACAAAGTAAATTAACCACATAATGGAACGTAAATCAAGATAAATTAACAATAGTCACAAATAAATGCATGTAAATCAAGCCAAATAAACGATACGATTTCGTGTTATCAAGATTCACCATAGTGGATGAAAATTGATAATGAGTATCCTGATTTTGGAGAAGAAGATAAAAACCTTCGCTTGGTATTATCAACTGATGGAATGAATCCACATGGTCTACAAAGTATCTCACATTCCACATTTCCTGTAATTATTATGATTTATAACCTACCTCCATGGATATGTATGAAGCGTAAGTACATGATGTTATCTATGTTAATTTCTGGCCCTAAACAACTAGGGAATGACATAGACGTATACTTGACACCTTTAATCGAAGACTTAAAGAGTTTGTGGGAGAACGGTGTGGAGGTTTCTGATGGATATAGGAAATAAAGTTTCAATTTGAGGGTGATGTTTTTTGGCACAATTAATGATTTTCCAGCATACATAAATCTATCGGGGTATAGCATTAAATGTCAATGTGCGTGTCCTATCTGTGAAGAAAACACAGATTGAACGCGATTGGAAT